TCTATCGCAGATAATGTCCAGTATTGGTACTCAGGGCTTTAAAGGGCAAAGCTATATCTTAAGCACAAGTAGCATTATAGTCAATATTTGACAAATAAGCATATTTTTCTCCAAGCAGCAACTCAGAAATAAATGAATTGTAGATTGTTCATTTTACATTGCTGCCGAATGTTTTTAGCCTATATATTGTGAATCATTGTTAAATGAAAGTATATATGTAAATATATGCATAATAAAAACAACACAAGCTCATTATAAAATACAGTATTATATAGAATCACATTAATTATGTCACTGACAAGACATTAATGTAAAAAGTAATTGAACTTAAACCTTAATATTTTACAACTGAAGTAAGCTGACAACTCTAAAATACCAAGTTGGGATAAGAAAAAAATGTTTATTATCAAATGTACAAGCTTCAGCACATCTGAATATTTCTTTTTGAGAATATTTTGGATTTACTATTTGAACATGTTTTGAAGGAATGTCTTGTCAATCTACATGTCCCTTACAAAGATATGAAACAGCTACCATATACGATAGTCTCCCCTAATCCATGTGGAATATATTCCAAGACCTCTACTGGGTACCTGAAACTTTGTGGTAGTACTGAACCTTAGATGTACTATGTTTTTCCTATACATACATACTCATAGTAATGTTTACAAGTTAGACACAGTAAAAGATTAGCAACAAAATAGGATAATAAAATAGAACTATTTTATTTGATAAATAACTAGTTTATTTAACAACTAATAAAGATTATAGTATGTACTCAAGTTATCTCACTGCAGGTCATATTTTTGGGCCTTGGTTGATTGCAGGTAAGTGAAAGCTGGACAAGAGGGCATTTCTGATCTCAATTAAGGAATACCATGAAGTGGTTAAACATGAATGCTGTCATTCTAACTAGTGACAAGGGAAAAGAGTGACATTAAATAAAGACAGCAAGTCCAGAACAAAGCCTATTTCTAAGTTTCTACTTGTATGTAAAAACAAAAGCTACATATGTATGCAAATGTCTTGATAACTGACTGCCATTCTAGTTAAGTAAACAAAAAACTATTGGCTAGGGGTTGTTTTAGTAGATTAAGCAGAAACTGGAAACTACTAACAGTTTATTTTTCTCTCCGCAGGTCTTTTCCATGCATCTCTTGGGGTGAAGGCTGCTTTCCAGTGTCTGCTCCTTTTTGCACAAGGCCAGCTCTCAATTGCAGTAACTTAGAAGTGTTCCAGTCATCACTCCTGCATTCCAAGCAGCAAGATAAAAAAGAAACCAAGGATGCTAAATTCCACAAAGCTGCCTAAGAACACTTGTCATACCTTCCATTAGCCAGTGCCAGACCCAGCGACAAGGTATATCAGGTAGTGCAGTCATAATTATAGATCAGATAGCTAGCTTAGAAATCAGGGTTCTAGGCCCTCCCTGGTGGTGCAACAGGTTAAAGCACAGCACTGCAAGGGAGCTGTAGCCACTTAGGTGGAAATTCAATCCCCAGCCCTGAAGGTAATCCACAAAGGCAGCAAACCTCTCCTGTCCGCCCAGTGCTCCCCTCAGCAGTGTATTTCATCAACCTACCTGTTTTGGTCCCCACTCTGTCTCTGGTGAATCCTCTCACTGCACCAGTTCCTGCTCCTCTGGCCTGTATCCCAGTTCTATACATTGTATACATAAATAAATAAAATCTTTAAAAAAATAATCAAGGTACTACTATTATTAAAAAGGAGTGGGCAATATGACACCTAATTCAGAAAAATTCATATGGTTATAGGTGTAAGTTTGGAAGGAACACTAAAAAAATGTAAATTAACTTGTAGAAGAGTAAGTGTTCTGAAGGATGTTGATGTGAAGGAATTTCCCTAAAGTAACAAAATGTACCTGGAGAGGAGATTGAGCAAGTGGCTGGATACCTTCAAAATATCTGCTGCTGGGCCTCTCTAGTGGCCTAGAGGTTGAGTCTCTGTGCTATTACTCCCCTAGTCTGAGTTCAATCCTGGGAGCTAACCCACATATGGCTCAGCAGACCTCTCCTGTCTTGCTAGCTGCTCCCCTCAGCAGTGTATCTCAGTAAACCTGCCTGTTCTGATCCCACTCTGTCTATGGTGAATCCTCTCACATCTGCACCTCTGTCCTATACCCCAATTCCATGCCAAAACAAACAAACAAACAAACAAAAAACCAAAATCACCTGCCATGAATTTAGAGCAACCTGCTCTGAGACTCAAGGGGAGAAAACAAAACATTAACATAATCTGGGGACAGAAAGTTAAATAATCTAAAGAAAGTTTGTGAATCTTTCTCTGCAAATGAAATGGAGGTAGCGAGAGACAGAGCTAATGTCTCCACTAATCTTGACACTGAGAAGACCTGGTTTTGCCTATCTGACAGTATGTCTGTTAAGTGCAAATAAACACTCCTTGAAGGGATTTGGATGAATAGTCAGAAGGAAGGTGGTGGTATTTCATTGTTACTGTGTCTTCTATTTACATTTAAGAAATCATGAACAGGTGAATTTGGGTATATTCTTCTCTAAAACTAAGAAAGTAAATGAAACATAAATAAAGCCACAAATGTCACTTACATTTCTGATGATAATGGAAGAGGATATTATTTTGGCTACCTCCTAAATTATCACAGCATAAATCATGCCATATTATTTCAGTTTTGATCAATGTCCCCTCTTGTCTGCGAGTGTATTTTAGACAGAAAGGAGCAGCACTCAAGTTGGGCCACCTACAGGTCAATCCCAGTGTTTTACTTCTTTTATTGGAAACTAATTTACAAGTGAATGAGCAGTAAGCTAAGCCTTATTAATAGTACTGGTCTAGTAAGCTGAGATAATGAATTCAAGTAATATTGGACAAAGTCTAGTATTAGATATTTAGATAAAGTCACACTCTCCCAAACACAGAAATGGAGGTGCCAGCAACCTTCAATATTCTGGAGAAGGAACATTATTACATGCCCTTACAATGGTTTTATACTTTAATAGAGGACTATATGATATTGAAATATTGATATTCTATCTAAATGGAAGCAACTGGAAGAATGAAGTCCATTGATTGACTTTCAGAGATTTTTCCCATCTAAGTAAATTGTGCATGGAATGAAAACTATTAAATAAATCAATAATTATGTAGCATTTAAGAAATATTTTATTCACTTTATCTACTTCTTGCTGTGTTTGTTTACCAACCGCAGCTAGATAAGGAGAACTGGGTTAATTTTGAAACTCTTCAGTTCCTTTTTTATAAGTCAACACTATTGCTGATGACTAGTGTGTCCTTTCTTTTACAGGAAATTGCAAAATTGAGAGAAAAAAGTAAATTTTTTATTATTTTTAACTTTCCTCTGATTTGGATATGGCTATAATTCCTACATTTTCTCATGACAACTGCTATAAGTATTCAAAAAGGGAAAAGCAGGCAAAGGGGAGGAGCAGGCAATTGTGCTCTAAGACCTGTGGCAGAGTCATTGCTATAGAGCTGACTTGCAGAGGTCCAGGTAGCTGGAGAACATATATGCTCTATTGTGCTCCAGCACAGGAGGAATCCTACCACAAAGCAGAGATGCAGTACTGCCTAAATGGGATCTTTCCAAGATCTGATATGCGTGCCCATGGAGAATGAGTTCCAAACTCATTCCAAGTCTCAGCTTTAGACTTTAAATATTAGTGCAGTGGTGATTGGGGGACCTAACCTTTTGAGGGCACAGGGTTGTAGCCATGTGCATGATTTACAAACTGAGTTTAAAATAACAAGGATGATCTATTTTTGCAAAATTTCACTCAATTGAGTACAATGAATTGGTATGTATTAGTTCAGAATAGTAATTGCAATTATGGCTGACCTCTTTTTTGCACATCCCACAAGCTAAGAATGGTTTTTATATTTAAAACACTTTGAAAAATATTAAGGCAAGTAATATTTCATGACATGAAAATTTAAAATTTAAAGTTCAAAATTTCTGGAAATTTGTTTTAATTTTAATAAATATCTACCTGATAGCCTAAAATTTGTGTGTTGTCTGATAAAACTTAACCTATCTAATACTTGGTCCTATCAGAAAAAAATCAGTATTCTCTGGTTTAGAAGAACAAGGAATTTAGTGTCAGGTAGATCTGGATCGAATTCTAGGCCTTCTATTTACTGATTGTAGGATTTTTGAGCTATATATTTAACCTTTCTAATCCTCAGTTTCTGTCTATAAAGTGGACAAGTACTATAAATACCTATCTTGCTAAGTTAAATGAGATAATACATTTAATGCACATAACACAATGTGTATATATTTATAATGAATCCTTTTGACTCATAACATATAACATATATTGTAATAATATTACTATAAAAAATTGTTGTAATACTGTTATATTATATTATATCTATATAAAGGTGGGCTACCCATGGATTAGAGATGACCTCATAAACCAGAGCATAAGATAAATGAACTCAGACTGCCTGAGGACCAAATAAATAATGGCGAGGGAAAGTAAATTAAAGCATGTACATTGTAAAAGTTTGGACTCGTATGTAAGACGTAATTATAAAAAAAAATCTTCACTGGTTATTCCTTCTTTTAGAAAAATTAAATTGATACTGTAATCTTCAAGACTCACAATCTTTTCTCTACGAATTAAGAAAAAATAATGACACCAAAAAAATGTCAAGTTGATAAAGTCTATGCTTTGTGGGAATGGCCCAGTTCAAGTTCAGGCCACCCACTCCAGATTCCAGCCTGGCCTCAGCCCTACCACTAGCCTTTAAACTCTTCTGGCAGCTGCAGCGCAGTGACAGCTTAGGGCGGGGCTGGCACTGAGACGAGCTCCGCCCCGCCTCTTAGATTCCGAGGACACGCCCAGGGGAGGGCCTAGTTCCTTGGGGGTGTGGCTACCACGCGAGGCGGTCCTCAGGTAACGGGGCGGGATCCCGAAAAACTAGCTGCGCGTCGCGGCCTAGTGACGTCAGGACGCGTCTAACGTGGCGTGCTCGGTGTGCGCAGTTGCAGTTCGGCGTCCTAGGCTGGTAACACTTGAGTTAAAGGGAGTTCTGGTGTCTGCCGGGATGTTACAGGTTGTTGGAGCTGTGGATGAGGAAGAGGAGCAAGCGGAGGAGGATTGCCCTGAATTGATCCCCATTGAGACGAAGCTCAAAGAGACGGAAGGAAAATCTGGCCCCGGCGCTAAGATCCCAGTCACAATAATCACCGGGTATTTAGGTAACTAACCATCCCGGTCAGAAAATGCAGTGAACTCTAGTATCCTAGAATTTTTGCGTGCTGACGGCGCTTCTTCTCCTTAGGTATCGGGGCCTTCCGGCCGAGAGCAAAAGTCTCTGAGGTAGGGGATGGGTCACTTGCTCTCGGTAAGGCTTCTCCTCTTCTCGGAGGTCAATGATGTCCAAACCCCTCCACGTTAGAGTCTCAGTTCTCAAGAGAGATGAAAAGTTAGCCTCGATTTTTGAAGAGCTCTGGCCTTGCGCTTTGAAGCTGGCACCCCTTCTTGCCCCCCATCCTTGTGTGTAACCGTTAACGTGTTACCTCTGAAGTTCATCGACCTCGCTTGAAATTAAAATAATATGGATCCGGTCACCAGTCTGAACTTGTTTTCTCATCTGCAGAATTGGTTAGGAAACACCTTATAAGTGTAGAACGACGAGAGGATGTGCTATCTAAAATGCTCAACACGTGAGCGGTCCCCTTCCCCACGAGACCATCTCTTCCATCCATCCGTGGAATATGTTCCTATTGCAAACATTTTTTTTTTTGGAGATGTGTTTGTATAGCTCTCGAGGAAAGAGTAAAAAATCTCTGCCCTCCATGACTAGATCTCTCAAACTGTGAGGACGTTATGGAGTGCACAGAGACACTTGAATAGGTTGGTAACATAGTGCAGTTCTCTGAAGAACAGTTTATGCGGTTACCTTGGAGGAACTTTACTGGCAAAATTTAAGAAGTATTTTAAAACCTTACAGTTAAGTAGAAGGGGGGCTAGCTTAAACACATGACCAGTTTGGAGAGGATTAAGAAATGTAAATAAAGTATTAATTTCTTGGTTCTGCTGGAGACAGTACAAACTCGGTGCACCTGAAGGCCTTTTACAAAACTCTAGTTAAATCACTGGTATTCTTCGCCCTCTTTTACTTGATAGTCTTTAAGTTTATTTCCATTTTTACACATTATATTTATAATAGATTTTTTTTTATTTCTCCATGTGTTATTCAGAAAATGCTCTGCTGAGAAGTTAAGTAAATTCCTTTCAGCAACCTTGCCTTATTGATGAACAAAGGGGATAGTTTTAGTGCTTACCCTTGACCATTTTTTCCCCCTTGAAACAGTTCCCCTGGCTTTCATCACAATTTCTCCTATTTCCACCGACTTCTCTGATTTGGTTTCTCCTTTTTAAGGTTGTTTCTTTTTTATTTTTCTATAGCTTCCCTCTGTATATCTTTTCCTTCTAATCCCAGATAGCTCTATTTTGATGCCTTACAGACACCTCCAAAATTTATATATCCAAAATTTCATGCTGCTGTCCTCTCCAGTCCTGCTATGATTCCATCCACTTGGAATACTATGAAAATTGACTAATCTTGAGCTATGCTGTCTTCTAATACACTCTGTATATTGTATCACACCCTTCAGTGATTTCTGTTTGTATTAACTTTCAAATTCCTTAACATGAATTACAAGGTCCTAGATGACTAGGCTTCTGCCAGCCTCTCTAGTCTGCTAAACTTTTGCCCAGTCAATTGAACTAATTTTATTTCTAAAGGTGCCAGGTACTTTAGTCCCTGGGTTATTTTTCTTACTGTTACGTCTCTGGCCAGCAGTTCTTCATAGGTGCTCCATAACATATTGTACTTGTCCTATTGAATGTGTATCATCCTGTAACATAATTGCCACTTCACTCTGAATTCCCATCCTCTTCCACACCTTTAATATTTCTAAACCTCAATAAGACAGCGAGACTGTACTGTCTGCATAGTACAGCATAAAACATGGTCCATAGTAAAGTTGTGAATAAATGAACCATGTCTTACAGTCTTTTGTTTCATAATGTTTATTACTAAGCCTAAGTAGTTATATAGTCTGTTCTTCACTTCCACCATCTTGAGCAGTACTCATGTTCATGACCTCTGTCCCACCCTTTGTCTGGTTTTAAGAATTTCCTCACTGCTTCCTTGAAGTCTGTCCCTTCCATTTTATACACTTTAGTGATGTGGAGCTTCCTGAACCTCTGTAATAAAAAGCCATTATAGTTTAATAACTTTTAAAGGATTATTATGCAAAAATGTTGTAGATATAGTAGAATAGTCAGCAAATCCCTCCTAGTTATATCTTAGAAAACTGAAAAGATAGTTCAGAAGATGTGTACAAACTTAGATGTAAAAGATTTTAGCTGCACTGTTTTAATATCAAGACACTGAAAACAATCCAAATCTCTACCACAGAAAGGAGGCAAATAAATGATGTATTTATACCATGGAACAACATTACTGTGCAATTAAGTTTTGTTTCCTACTTTCATCAAGGAGCCTGGAGGTGTATGGTTCATCAGACATGTTTTTTTCTTGAGACAACATGTGTTAGGCCTAATATGCCACCTAGTGGCTAAAGTTGGTGTAGCTTTGAATTTACCTTTCTAAATACCAAACATTTGTCCATTGTTTGCACTTTCTATATCCATTTCTCTGTGTGATGTATATGTATGTATCTAATAACTTTTATAGGTTGCCTTGAGCATACTAAAAAAGGGTTCTAGTCAGCTTGAATTTGTGTCTGATTAATGATGGGTGTTAAAAGTTAGATCTTGCTAATATACTTTAGGGAAGTAAACCATGTATTCTTGGCCAAAAAATTGTCTTCATATAAAGGTATTTAAATATTCTAAATTTTATAAAGTATTGAGTATTTTTTCCTTGAAAGACATGTACCAGTAATTAATAGAAATTTTAGATGCTTTCAGAGTAATTGTATTTTAAATCACGTAGAAGGCATATTTTATCCATGAATTTGAAGAGAACTATTGATTCAACCTACAGGTGTATTTTAAATGTTTATAAAATGTTCTTGTTATCATAAAACATTTTTTTTTTAAGATTTATTTATTCGTGCATACAGAGCTGGGGTACAGGCCAGAGGCTCAGGGGCGGTGAGAAGCTTCAACAGAGACAGAGTGGGTATCTGCCTGGATGATCAGGGGCTGGTCAGGAGAGGTCTGCCACGCCATGTGGTCACCTCCGGGGCAGGCAGGAATCGAACTCATGAGGAAGCGGCTTTAAGATTCTCAATGCTGTGCTTTAACCCGCTGCGCCAGCAGGAAGGGCCCTGTCATAAAACATTTTTAGGGTTTCAAAAGGTATATCCATCTTTTCCTCTAGATTGTATGCCATAGTAAAGTAATAAAATAACTTGCAAACTCTTAAAAATAATGGGATTTTTTTTTGTATTTTTTATGCCTTTAAAATTTATCTTTAAAAACAAATTTTTTTATAGGTGCTGGGAAGACAACACTTTTGAACTATATTTTGACAGAGCAACATAGCAAAAGAGTAGCAGTTATTTTAAATGAATTTGGGGAAGGTAAGTAAAGTAAATATTATACTGCAAGAATTTCTGGGCCAATTTATTCCACTAGAGAAACTGGTATGTTCCATATTGGAATGGAAAATTCTTGATAATATATTATGGATAGTTTCAGGGGAACAAAAGGATTGTTTTAGAAAAATTTGATTTCAGTGAGGCTTTATGTTATACAAAAGTAAAAAATTTCAACAAATGAAGTTTTCTGAGGAACTAGAAAGTTGTGTTATGCTTTTGTCTACATTGTTTATTGCGGCTTCTGAAAAAACATGAATATACTTCCAAGTAAAAAGTTGTAAGTTTAACTGTTGAATGTTTATTCTCTGAAAAGCAGTTAAAACTGAAGATTTTTTAAAAATAAACTTAAGAGTATCCATTCTCACACAATTTCAATTATCTGTGAAAATACATTTAACATTCCAAATTTTTTTCTTCAGTACTACTGAACTGTGGTTTGAAAGTCTAGTTAGCAAAATCTTTGTTTTTAAAGGAGTTTTTATTTTTTTAAAGATTTATTTATTTATACATACAGAGCTGGGGTACAGGCCAGAGGTGCAGGGTGGTGAGAGGATTCACCAGAGACAGAGTAGGGAGCAGAACAGGCAGACTGAGGAAGTGCACTGCTGAGGGGAGCAGCGGCTGGGTCAGGGGAGGTCTGCCACGCCATGTGGTCACCTTCGGGGCAGGCGGGAATCGAACTCGTACTGCAGTGGCTTTAACTTCTTAGTGCTGTGCTTTAACCCACTGTGCCACCAGGGAGGGCCCTTTAAAAGAGTTTTTTTTTTTTAAATCAAGTATGGATTTTAATTAAAGCTCTCTTTTAGTCAAAAAATATAACTTCTTTGCAAACTTTTTAAAGTATACTAATTTTTTTTTTTTTGCTATTCAGTGATCTGTTTTTTTGTTTTCCATCTCAATTGTAATCCCCACGGGTTTCCCATCACCAAGTCACCCGTGTGCCATCACCATAATCCTGTGCACTTCGCTCCCTACCCCGCTGTTTTTGGTCCCATTTCCCACTCCACCCCCACAAAATGTGTGTATATGGCTTTTCATTATTCTTGTTATTTTCTCGCCTGGTCCATTATACTCCTGCTATGAGTGAAACCATCTGGTATTTTTCTTTCTCTTTCTGGCTTATCTCACTAAGCATGATCTTTTCCAGCTCCATCCAAGTTGCTGCAAAAGATAGGTGTTTCTCTTTTTTGGTTGCTGAGTAATATTCCATTGTATATATGT